TATGAACTGCTCTGAGACTCACCACACTCTTATAGAAAGTGGTCGGGGTAAATTGAGCCGTTGAGCAGCGAGATCACGACAGGCACGAAGTATGGAATAAGATGTCGTTATGGCTGACTGTAGACGATCACCCGGTTGAGCCAAATATGGCGATTGGAAAAATGACAAAAGCATATTGATGAGTAGCAATGACGATGTCTCCACTGGGACCTATATGTGGAATAGTAACATTCATATTCCTTGAAGGCAGTGGACAAGCAAGATGGACCCTTTTCCTAGATTTTGGCGGAGTTAGGTAGTACAATCACCAAGGTTACCGTAGCCCGAACCCCAGATGTCAATTCATACGCTAAGTTAGAAAAATGCGGGTGAAGGAACGAACACCTCAGTTAGGGACCTCCTCGACGGACTGCTGATCCTTTCATCCGCGAAGGTAGTGTCTAATTGGGATGTTCGTTCCTCTACCCGAAAAATGCGCTTCAGATCTCCACCAACCCCTCCCACTTTTAATGATTGGGCGTCATCGTGGGGTTTTGAAGCGCATTTTTCAGGAATTGGCGCACGACTGGCATAGGGTTTGGATTACGGTGTGCTAGGGGGATCTACTACCTAACTCCACCAAAATCCAAAAAGGGTCCACTTTATCTGTCCGCTGCGTTTAAATTGGATAGAGTAGACCAACCTCGTTGCTGGCTACGAATGGAGGAATTTCATACTGTAATAACCACGCGGACAGAGTTGTCACTACCTAAAGCGGATACAAAATATAACTCCCATAGATTACTGAACCGCATACCTTTTGTATAACATTGCTGCATGCAAGAGGAAGAGTCATTGCTTCTCTCATCAGGCTCAAAGCCATGTTGGTAGCTCTATGCGAAGCAAATAACGCATCATGGTACAGTAGTACACCTACATGGCGTTGTTCTGCTGGTAGCTGCTGAACTGCCGCTAGATTGTTCACCCAGCGAATCAACCAGTACCTGAAAAGTCAAAGTCATGATCAGATAGGTAAAAAGATCTGACTTACCGAGCAATGACAATGGGATCTGCAGTTTCAAGGGCTTCTATCGTATCATCGGCCCCTTCCCAGCCACCAAAAATATCTACTCCGTTGGTTTCCAAATCAGAAAAGCATTCGGCAATGTAGAGATTGATGACCCTGAAACCCATTTTTGGATATGAGAATAAGCAAGACTCACCGTACCTGTCAATTATGAAGCTAGCACACTGGAATCGCTTCTTCTCATCACTCCATTCGATCCTCGACGTCTCATGCGTGCAGTATCCAAGGAACTTATCCAAATATACCTAAAAATCACCTATAACGCAGCAATCCAATGACACAACCGTGAAAAATACCTGGAGCTTTTGCGCCTTTTCTTTAGCCGATAGTGGACCTGTTCCTGGTAGTGTTGGCGAACCCATGCTGCGATCCGACCAATGAACGGTCCCTGAAGAACGAGGTTTAACTAAAAAGGGATGATGAAGATGGAAGTACTTACCAGATGAATGGCAGTACTGTTGCAATACAGTCTCTGTATCTT